TCTTCTATGTCAAGTGTGAAGAACAATTTGCCTCCTCTCAACAGTGAAACCTTTTCCTTATTTACATCTTTTGCTATTCAAAATTTGTACTTGCATGAATAAACACCAACATGAGACCTTGTTTAAACTCTGCATATCTAATCAAACAAAGAAAGCCAGAATTAGATGTTGGTTGCAAAGACTGTGGTTGTAGGTTTTTCTGCCTATTCTGTGTCACATAATTTATCCCCTCTGTTACAAACCAGATGAATTGCTTGTCTTGAAAGTCTCTAGAAGTGGTGATTTCTCCTGAATACATTGCAGGGCTCATCTGTACTTGTTAATATTTAAGAATGGTTTACTTCAGAATGCTCAGAGGCTTAATTGCACAGCCAGTCTTTGCATCAGGCTATAATGCAAGTTCTCCATATCAATAGAATCTGTATCCACGGAGTCAACCACCCACAGTTTAAAAACACTTTTTTAAAAAACCAACAAAGAAAATTTTAATTTTGCGACATTATAGGAATGCCTTTTTATTACACCATTGAATATAATCCACATAATTAAATCAATGGTATTGCCTGTAGTAACCTATGGATGTGAGAGCTGGACCATAAGAAAGGCTGAGTGAAGGAAGAAAGATGCTTTTAAACTGTGGTGCTGGAGGAAAATTCTGAGAGTGCCATGGACCACAAGAATATCAAACTCTTGTGAGTCCATACTCTAGAGTCCATACTCTAGGAAATTATGCCCAACTGCTCACTGAAGAGAAGGATATTAGAGGCAAAGATGAATTACTCTGGCCACATAACGAGAAGACAGGAAAGCTTGGAGAAGACAACGATGCTGGGGAAAATGGTAGGAGAAAGGAAGAGGGGCTGACCAAGGGCAAGATGGATGGATGTTATTCTTGAAGTGACTGGCTTGACCTTGAAGAAGCTGGAGGTGGTGACGGCCGACAGGGAGCTCTGGCATGGGCTGGTCCATGAGGTCACGAAGAGTCAGAAATGACTGAACGAATAAACAACAACATATAATGAGAACTGAGCCCAGTGTAATGTGTTTTAAATTTTCAGTGACGCTACTTATCCAGAACATATTTCCTGTAGCTAAAAAGAACATAGTTTTCAGAAGCTGTTCGGTCCAAGAACAGAAGATGCTTTCTCTTTTATAAAAGCAAAGGAAGAGAAAAGAAGAAAAGTGTGGAAGGAAGAGACAGAGACTACCTACTATCTTTCTTCATTACAAGAAATGCTAGAAAATGATAGATTCTTGTTCAAGGTATAACCTTTGCAACAAGCAACAACATTATGATATCATCTTGAATTAGAGCAATTTTATAAATGATATAAGAAATTGCAGTAGCAGATGTAAGAACATATCATACTGATAAGAAAAGAGACACTGAGTATAATGCAATGGGAAAAGAAGCTATTAATTTAAAAACCAGCAGGAACTCTTTTGTACAATACATGAAAATCAGTCACATTGTTAATTTTTTTTAAAAAAAAGAAGCCTAAATCCAAATTTCTGTAATGCATTAGCTGGGCCAACTCGAAGATGACAAAACACTGCAAATTTTCAAGTTCTTAAGTTCTTCATCAGGTTAAAGGACAAACAAAATAAGGTGGGGGATATTGAGGGGGAAAGGAAGTTCTGGCTCAGCTTACCTGTCCGAATGTATCTGCCTCTATGACCCATCTCAGAGGTTAAGATTGTCCGGGGAGACCCTGCTCTTGATCCCACCTCGCTTGCAAGTGCTACTGGTTGGGATGAGAGACAGGGCCTTCTCAGTTGCAGCCTCTTGGCTGTGGAACTTCCTCCCCAGGGAAATTAGATCAACCCCTTCCCTAATCAAGGTGGCGAAATGCAACATTCACATTTGCCACCAACAGACAAGAGTTCTTTCTCCCACCTTGGACATTCCATAGACATTTAAAAAACTGACTTACCTAGTTTCCAACAGACCTCACAACCTCTGAGGATGCCTGTTATAGATGTGGGTGAAACATCAGGAGAGAATGCTTCTGGAATATGGCCATAGAGCCCAGAAAGCTCACAGCAACCCAGTGATTCCAGCCATGCAAGCCTTCAACAACAATTGCTAAACACTGACTTCACATGTGGCACACAAATAAGCAAACTTATCTACCATAAGTAAGTTTATTTATTTACTTAAAACATTTATAGCATTACAGTACAATTGGCATACAGAAGCACACCACCTCTGGTATGGAAGGGAATATTATATTTGTCATGGGTGGTGCAGCGGGTCAAACCGCTGAGCTGCTGAACTTGCTGACCGAAAGGCTGGCAGTTTGAATCTGAGGAGCGGGGTGAGCTCCTGCTGTTAGGCCCAGCTTCTGCCAACCTAGCAATTTGAAAACATGCAAATGTGAGTAGATCGATAGGTACTGCTTCCGCGGGAAGGTAACAATGCTCCATGCAGTCATGCTGGCCACAGGACAATGATGGCTCTTTGGCTTTGAAATGGAGATGAGCACCACCACCCAGAGTTGGACACAACTAGACTTAATGTCAAGGGGAACCCTTTCCCTTATATTTGTCATGGTTAAAAGCTATTTATCACCCACAGATTTGTTCAAACTGTCTGTGGTAGTGACAATCACTACAACTTGTGAGAACAAATCTAGTGAGCATTGGATTTATTTTCAAATGGAAGCTGGACATCTTACAGGTGTAATTTAGTTGTTGGACTAGATGCTACTGAAGTGACTCCCATTCTACAGTTCTAAAGTCCTAAGTATGGGTTGTATGACTAATTACTTCCTGTAATCAACCTTGGCTCTCCCACCATTCAACTTCAGCAGATAACCCTGGATTTGAGAAATACAAGAGAAGAAGAAAAATTTCTTCCTGTCTACTTTCTCCACTCATGCAAAATATCATAAACATGCATCATTCACTGTAAGAATATGAATGCTAAAACCCTTTACCTAGTAGTAAAAAACAGTGAAATCAATTATAAATATGTTTAGGGCAAAAAGTAAAATTAAAAAAGGAAGGATACATAAAAATAGAATTCTTTTTGAAGTGTGAAAAAAACGAATATATGGAACCGAGCACTGTGAAAACATGTGTATTTTCTGTTCTGTATTGTATCTCGATTCTGTTTTCTCTCTCTTAGTTTTCTCAAAAAATTAATGAACCCTGGCAAAAATCCAAATACAAGAATGAGATTTTACTGCTCAGATGTGTGCTACAGAAGGAGTCAAAACTGAACTGACTGTGTTTGAAAGACAAACAGAGAGAAAGAGAGGGAAAAAAATACAAAATACTCAAATTATATTGTTGGTTCAAGAAATAGAAAATGGAAATATTCATTGCTAAGCAGCATGTTGAAAAACTTCATTTTCCTCAATTTCCTATCTATAAACCAACACGTTGTCTAATTAGGTTAAGATACCTACTGAGAATCACTTTCACAATTTTTTAAAATCCCATAGCCAAAGGAGAATGCAGAATGTCTTGTCCAATTTGACTGAACTAAATTTAACATAATACATCAAAGGCACTATCAAAGTCAAAGCACTTTCAACCAATTTCTGTCTGAAAAAATAACCATGAAAATATTTGGAACCTGCAGGTATGCTGCTCGGTGTGTAATTTAATGTGTTCGCCCCACTCTTAGCCTTAAAAGGTGTTTGGATAAAAATCTGTGGATTCAACAAGATTACAATTGCTTGAAGCAAATTAATTCTTGTTTTATGAACTCAAGAGATGAACACAGTAATATCCAAGACTATAATTTTCACAAGCAACAAACTAGTTTTGTTTTATTGGTACAGCTGATGAGCTGTTAAGAATATTAATGTGTATGGAAGAGGTGAGCAATTTGTGGTCCCAAAAGCATTACTAGATATTTATTTTGTGTGTCAGGATTGACTTGAGAAACTGCAAGTCGCTTCTGGCGTGAGAGAATGATGTTTTACCATCCTTGTGGGATGTCCCTCTTCTCTCATGTCCCCACATGGGGAGCTGGAGCAGACAGAGGGAGCTCACCCACGCTCTCCCTGGATTTGAACCTCTGACCTGTCAGTCTTCAGTCCTGCTGGCACAAGGGTTTAACTCATTGCGCCTCTGGGGGCTCTTGTGATTGAGATAGTTTGTATACATTGAGCCATCAGAAAGCAAAGAAAGATGTTACTATCTGTGGTTGAGATAGTAACATCTTTCTTTACTGTCTAATGGCTCAACATACACAAACTTTGTGTCATGCATGAAGTTATGAAAAATACTGGGCATAAAATTACTTTGAGGTCATGGGTATAAGACATGTATATAAAAGAGAAAAGACTTTTGTGTTAAGACTTGGGTCACATCTCCAAGATATCTCATGATGTATATGTGAATATTCCAATAAATAAATAAATAAATAAATAAATTTATCTGTTTTAAAAATCCAAAATGGTTTTGCCTTCAAGCATTTCGAAGAAGGGATACTCTGTACTTTATATGAAAAACGGGATAAAAGATTAAAGGTTCTTAGACATACTATGCTTGCAAAACTTCACAGTGAACAAAACATGTGATCTCTCTCTTTCAGTTAAACCTATCTGGAAATAAAGTAACAGGTTCTTCATGAGCCAAAGATCCCGTGTTGGCCAAGTCTGAAGGTTATGATGATGAACCAAAGGAACTGGCATTATAATCTCAAGAATGAATTCCAGAAAGTATGGAGTACTGGTAAATCTCAGGGAGAAAAACTGGTACACCCTGATAATTTTCAGAGTAGTAGCTAATTATCTGGGATAGTTACTATAAATCACTGGAAAAAGGAATGTATTGGTAGAATGAAGGGACTGTATCACATTGCTGTAGAAAAAATTAAAATGGTAAATCCTATATAATGAATGGTTTCAATATTTTTTTAAAGAACAATCTCACGAAGGAGGACATTTTCTTCATTGTCACTTTAGTAGCCTCTAAAATGGTGGACAACATGAGAAAGTAAGGTTAGAAAACAAAATCTCAAAATAAAAAGGAGCCATACTTACATTGGTGACATATTCAATATCCTTCCACATATTACACTCCCTGGGAAAGTCCGATAACTCTAAAAAATTATCCACTATCACCTGGCCAATCAAGTCATGCCTGGAGAATCGGTCGAAGTCATATACAGAGAAATGGAGTTTTCTTGTACTCAAGTCATTGTAAGGAACAGGAAATAAAAAAACTTCATCAAACACAGGGTTCAGGGTCTTTCTATGTACTTTAGTCTGGTGTTTTGTTTTCCTATCTGGAAGTAAGTAGATCTTAACATATGGATCTGACGTCCCAGAAAAGTCCTTTGCTGGCAGGTTCACAGCTTTGTGAATCTTCACCATTAGTTGTTCCAAATCACAATCATATTTCACAATAAAGTTGAGCTTCCCACAAGACTTGCTGTTATTTCTCCGCCCATCATCTGTGTCGACTGATCTTTGTTTATATAACTCTGGCTTGATTCGCCCAAGCCCGGCCAGCTGGTCCTGCTTTTGGATCTGCTGAATGTTAAAATCTGGGTTTGAAAGATTGAGCTGCCTTCGAAATGAATTGTGCCTTAAATAAAAAAAAAAACAACAAAGTGTATTTATTAATGATATTTAAGAAACCCATAACAAAACAAGCTGCGAGCTAAAACTAAAAGCAAAAACAATATACTAGTAGAAATAACAAATTCTTCTACTGTTTTAAAGATTTTGTTGTTGTCAATATGATTCTGACCAGTCCTGTAGCGAGGGGGTGGTTTTAGCGGTTCAACCCCCCCCCCCCGAAATGTTTCAGATTTTTTTTAAAAAAACCTGGTTTACTCATGAATTTTAACTGGTTAACCAATCCCCATGCTAAGTCTATGAGATGCAAAAAATTAAGAGTCCCTCCAGAACTGCAAGCACTATCTCAAGCAAATATTGACAATGTATTCACACTGTCATTACTTGCAGCAATAGCCGATGTAGTGAAGCAACCAAGTTGGGGGTGTGGGTGTTGAATGCTCTCATTAAGGAGGCCAGACTTGGTGGAGGTGGTTGACCGGGGCAGAGCTGCAGGCTATTGAAGGGTGCTCTGTCCCCTGCTGTGTTCTTTGCTTCAGCGTGAGCTAGGAGGCAGGTTTCAACCCCCCCCCCGAAATTGTCAAACCTCCCCGAAATTTTCAACCTCCCCCCCTGAAATTGTCAACCCTCCCCGAATTTTTTTTCTGGCTACGGCCCTGATTCTGACATATGGTTAACCACTCAAAGAGTTTTGTTGACAAGATTAAAAACTGCCTTAGGCCAGTGGTTCTCAGCCTGTGGGTCCCCAGGTGTTTTGGCCTATAACTCTCAGAATTCCCAGCCAGTTTACCAGCTGTTAGGATTTCTGGGAGTTGAAGGCCAAAATATTTGGGGACCCACAGGTTGAGAACTACTGACTTAGGCTAAGGCAATATGGCTTCCTCTGTGGGCTCTCATGGCTATGAACATATTCTTTCAGAGTTCGTACTCCACACTCAAAACATCTACACAACACTGGTACACAAAACACAGGACTCTAGGAAAAAACCTGGGACTTAATTCATGCAGACCTTTTGACCTATCATTGAACAATCAATCCAACTGTCTTAAGACTTAGAAATGTGGATAATACCGTATATTCCGGCATATAAGACGACTGGGCGTATAAGACGACCCCCAACTTTTCCAGTTAAAATATAGAGTTTGGGATATACTCGCCGTATAAGACCACCCCTCTTCCAATGCACACCAAATAATTTTTAAAAAAAATCAGATTTGACTTCAATATGGTAATTTGAATTCAAATGCTTATGACATGCAGGTTCCTATGAGAGGGGCATTGTACCTTACATTGGACATTATAGTTGTTCTTCCTCCCTTGAATTTCATTTACACTCTGGGTCCTTTACATCATGCTGGCAAGTATGAAAGCAGGCTTTAAATGGTTAAGATTACATTTATGTTGGCATAGAAGCTTGCATGCAAATAGAAGTCAGGCTTTGTACAATGAGTACTGAGGTGAAGGCAAAGCATTTGGAGAATTATTATCTATAAGCAGTCTTTATAAATCAGGACCTCCTATCAGAAGAGAGGGGCAGATTGGACCCTAATCCTTCAGAAATGTAGAATTTGGCATGGCACATGTTTACTTGGTCACATCTTGACATGTCTTCATCCTTAAATCACCGTGACAGCTTGAATTGTTTTAGAGTTCTCAAGAACACAGCCAGGTGATGTTTAATTGTTAGAAGGGGAAAAGAGATCAGAAAAGAGGAAGGGGGGCCCTGGGTCAATAAGAGCTTTCCAGTTTGACTTCTGTCAAAAACGAAATGCAAAGATACAGGATGGGGGACACGTGGCTCGAGAGCGGTATGTGTGAAAAAGATCTTGGGGTCCTTGTGGACAACAAGTTAAACATGAGCCAGGAATGTCATGCGGTGGCAAAAAAAAAAAAACAAACAAACAAAAAAAAAAACCCCAAGAGGATTTTGGCCTGCATCAATACGAGCATAGCGTCTAGATCCAGGGAAGTCATGCTCCCCATGCTCTATTCTGCTCTGGTTAGACCAAACCTGGAATTACATTGTGTCCAATTCTGGGCACCACAACTGAAGGGAGATGTTGACAAGCTGGAATGTGTCCAGAGGAAGAGGGTGACTAAAATGATCAAGGGTCTGGAGAACAAGCCCTATGAGGAGCGGCTTAAAGAGCTGGGCATGTTTAGTCTGAAGAAGAGAAGGCTGAGAGGAGACATGCTGAGAGCGATGTATAAATATGTGAGAAGAAGTCATAGGGAGGAGAGAGCAGATCAAGGGTCTAGAGAACAAGTCCTATGAGGAGCGGCTTAAAGAGCTGGGCATGTTTAGTCTGAAGAAGAGAAGGCTGAGAGGAGACATGATGAGAGCCATGTATAAATATGTGAGAGGAAGTCATAGGGAGGAGAGAGCAGATCAAGGGTCTGGAGAACAAGCCCTATGAGGAGTGGCTTAAAGAGCTGGGTATGTTTAGTCTGAAGAAGAGAAGGCTGAGAGGAGACATGATGAGAGCCATGTATAAATATGTGAGAGGAAGTCATAGGGAGGAGAGAGCAGATCAAGGGTCTGGAGAACAAGCCCTATGAGGAGTGGCTTAAGGAGCTGGGCATGTTTAGCCTGAAGAAGAGAAGGATGAGAGGAGACATGATGAGGGCCATGTATAAATATGTGAGAGGAAGCCACAGGGAGGAGGGAGCAGATCAAGGGTCTGGAGAACAAGCCCTATGAGGAGCGGCTTAAAGAGCTGGGCATGTTTAGCCTGAAGAAGAGAAGGCTGAGAGGAGACATGATGAGGGCCATGTATAAATATGTGAGAGGAAGTCATAGGGAGGAGAGAGCAGATCAAGGGTCTGGAGGACAAGCCCTATGAGGAGTGGCTTAAAGAGCTGGGTATGTTTAGCCTGAAGAAGAGAAGGCTGAGAGGAGACATGATGAGAGCCATGTATAAATATGTGAGAGGAAGTCATAGGGAGGAGAGAGCAGATCAAGGGTCTGGAGGACAAGCCCTATGAGGAGTGGCTTAAAGAGCTGGGTATGTTTAGCCTGAAGAAGAGAAGGCTGAGAGGAGACATGATGAGAGCCATGTATAAATATGTGAGAGGAAGTCATAGGGAGGAGAGAGCAGATCAAGGGTCTGGAGGACAAGCCCTATGAGGAGTGGCTTAAAGAGCTGGGTATGTTTAGCCTGAAGAAGAGAAGGCTGAGAGGAGACATGATGAGAGCCATGTATAAATATGTGAGAGGAAGTCATAGGGAGGAGAGAGCAGATCAAGGGTCTGGAGAACAAGCCCTATGAGGAGTGGCTTAAAGAGCTGGGTATGTTTAGCTTGAAGAAGAGAAGGCTGAGAGGAGATATGATGAGAGCCATGTATAAATATGTGAGAGGAAGTCATAGGGAGGAGAGAAGATCAAGGGTCTGGAGGACAAGCCCTATGAGGAGTGGCTTAAAGAGCTGGGTATGTTTAGCCTGAAGAAGAGAAGGCTGAGAGGAGACATGATGAGAGCCATGTATAAATATGTGAGAGGAAGTCATAGGGAGGAGAGAGCAGATCAAGGGTCTGGAGGACAAGCCCTATGAGGAGTGGCTTAAAGAGCTGGGTATGTTTAGCCTGAAGAAGAGAAGGCTGAGAGGAGACATGATGAGAGCCATGTATAAATATGTGAGAGGAAGTCATAGGGAGGAGAGAGCAGATCAAGGGTCTGGAGGACAAGCCCTATGAGGAGTGGCTTAAAGAGCTGGGTATGTTTAGCCTGAAGAAGAGAAGGCTGAGAGGAGACATGATGAGAGCCATGTATAAATATGTGAGAGGAAGTCATAGGGAGGAGAGAGCAGATCAAGGGTCTGGAGAACAAGCCCTATGAGGAGTGGCTTAAAGAGCTGGGTATGTTTAGCCTGAAGAAGAGAAGGCTGAGAGGAGACATGATGAGGGCCATGTATAAATATGTGAGAGGAAGTCATAGGGAGGAGAGAGCAGATCAAGGGTCTGGAGGACAAGCCCTATGAGGAGTGGCTTAAAGAGCTGGGTATGTTTAGCCTGAAGAAGAGAAGGCTGAGAGGAGACATGATGAGAGTCATGTATAAATATGTGAGAGGAAGTCATAGCAAGGAGAGAGCAGATCAAGGGTCTGGAGGACAAGCCCTATGAGGAGCGGCTTAAAGAGCTGGGCATGTTTAGTCTGAAGAAGAGAAGGCTGAGAGGAGACATGATGAGAGCCATGTATAAATATGTGAGAGGAAGTCATAGGGAGGAGAGAGCAGATCAAGGGTCTGGAGGACAAGCCCTATGAGGAGCGGCTTAAAGAGCTGGGCATGTTTAGCCTGAAGAAGAGAAGGCTGAGAGGAGACATGATGAGAGCCATGTATAAATATGTGAGAGGAAGTCATAGGGAGGAGAGAGCAGATCAAGGGTCTGGAGGACAAGCCCTATGAGGAGTGGCTTAAAGAGCTGGGTATGTTTAGCCTGAAGAAGAGAAGGCTGAGAGGAGACATGATGAGAGCCATGTATAAATATGTGAGAGGAAGTCATAGGGAGGAGAGAGCAGATCAAGGGTCTGGAGAACAAGCCCTATGAGGAGCGGCTTAAAGAGCTGGGTATGTTTAGCCTGAAGAAGAGAAGGCTGAGAGGAGACATGATGAGAGCCATGTATAAATATGAGAGGAAGTCATAGGGAGGAGAGAGCAGATCAAGGGTCTGGAGGACAAGCCCTATGAGGGGTGGCTTAAAGAGCTGGGTATAAATATGTGAGAGGAAGTCATAGGGAGGGGGGAGGGAGGGAGGGAGGGAGGGGGCTAGGAGGAGGAGCGGCAGGCAGAGTGGTAGCCTACTGGGCTGTCTTCATCCTCGCAGGCATTGACTTGGCTCCGCCTCCGGCCTCCATCTCAGAACAGCTGCTGCAGGAGGGAGCCAAAGCCCGAGGGGCGGGGGCGGGGCCTCTGGCTGCTCCGCCCCGCCCCCGCAGAGGGCCCCGCCCCCCGGTCCCACCCCCCTGCGGAGGCTTCAGCTCCTGCTGCTTTTCCAGGCCGGCGGGGGTGTTTGCATGCTGTGCTGTCCCCTCCGCCACTGGTCTGCTGCTACCTCCGCCTCTGGCCTCAAGTTCAGAGCAATTGCCGAGGGAACCAAAACCGGAGCGTGGGCGGGGCCGCGAGGGGCGGGGTCCTCTTCTCCCACTGCCTCCCTGCTCTGGGTTTCGTTCCCTCGGCAGTTGCTCTGGCTTTGAGGCCAGAGGCGGAGCTAGCAGCAGACCAGTGGCGGAGGGGACAGCACAGCATGCAAGCAACCCCCGCCGTCCTGGTAAAGCAGCAGGAGTTGAAGCCTCCGCAGGGGGGCGGGACCGGGGGCGGGACCCTCCGCGGGGGCGGGGCGGAGCAGCCAGAGGCCCTGCCCCCGCCCCTCCGGCTTTGGCTCCTGCAGCAGCTGTTCTGGGATTAGAGGCCGGAGGCGGAGCCAAGTCAATGCCGGCGAGGGTGAAAACAGCCCAGTAGGCTACCATGCTGCCAGCTTGGTAGCGAAGCCTGCCGGTGCTCCTCCTCGCCCCCTCCCTGCCTCCCCCCCTCCGCCCTCCGCCCCCCCCTCCTCAGGCTCCACCACGCGGGGACGCCAAGGGCGAGGGAGACGAGGGAAAAATGATGCCAAAAATTTTATACCGGGGTACAAGACGACTCCCCACTTTTGAGCTGATTTTCCTGGCTTAGAAAGTCGTCTTGTACCCCGGAATATACGGTAAGTCTTTTAAAATATATTTTTCAGTTTTACCATAAATATACAGCAGATATTTCGTCTTGAAGGCAGCTGGTATTGGAGGATGCTTGAATAACTTATTGAAAAGGATTGGAGTTAGCAGCACAATTGTTAGCTCTACTTTCTTCCCCAACCTCACTCCATGGATGGCAAAGAAGAGAGAGAAGCAAAGATTGTGCTGTCAGCTGGTCACATGACCTTGGAGGTGTATACGGACAGCTGGTACTTGCAGATATCAGCTGTGTCCTACTAAGGTAGGAAAAAACTGGCACCTGAAAACATCAGCTGAAAGCACTTTGCTCCCTTGCACTCTTCTTCATGCTAGGAAAGGGAACGGCAGGCTATTGTTAATGCTCTCTCAATGTTGTACTTTAACTCAGACTTCCCTCTCACAACTTCTAATTTATTTGAAGTGGCGTCTTGAATACTACTGTTCTAGTAGTAATCTATTTCAATCAACTGAAGCCACACAACTGAGAATAGGTTGGTAGCCTTGAATAACTTATTTTCATTATCTAAGACACTCCTGCCCTGGCATTGCTGTGTGCTCTTCCCAGCCCTATCTATATGTGGCATTCACCAAATCATCTGACAGGGATCTAAGCTCTTAAATCTTGTTCTAAAGCAATGGTACTTAAACTGTGGGCCACTGACCACCAGTGGGCCGCAAGGACAAAAATCTGGTCCATGAGCCTCCTTCCTATTTTATCTTATTTTATTTCCACTCCTTTCGCACCGCTTGTCACTCCTTCCCCTTCACTGACCCATAGCATATGTTCTGTATCAGAAACGAGAGCTCATGTGGTCTATCCAATGCAATTTTCTGAATCAGCACCCCAAAATCAAATCTAAAGTTGATCAAAAACTGATTCGTAACCCTTTTTGTACTAATGTTGGAGAGTGGTCCCTGGTCACAGTGGTCCCTGGTTAAGTGGTTTCTGATCAAAGTGGTTCATGGTCAAAATGGTGCCTGGTTAAGTGGTCCCTGGTCAAGTGGTCCCTGGTCAAAAATGGTTGGCTTTAGGCTGAATGATGTTTGCAAGAAGACAAACCTTAATTGCCTAACTTGTCTTTTTCTTTGAAGCCAGCATGCATATTCATTTTGGATTATGATTTCTTGGTATGGGCTTCAAAACTGGAGGTGTCGTCAGATTTTTCCTTCGATCATACTATTTATTATAGTTGACTTTCTAAAGTTTCTTCCTATTCATTATGGCTCAGGCAATGATACAAAATAATATAGTTCTCCATGTAGTATTGTAGCTGTGATGGAAGTGGACGTGTACTTGTACTGAAACTCCATCATGCTCCATTGCCACATGATGTAATAGTGTTATTAGATTTGAAAAGGCTGAGACAAAAAAATTAGTGGGTTAAATCTATAAATGACTGCTAGCTTTTTAAGTTAAAAAAGAGAACACTTTATATTTATATAGGTGGTTTACTTTTTTGTTAAAAGATGCTGTGTTGAACAACAGGGTACAATTATCTTTCCTTTTTCTTGCTTGTGACATGGTTGGCCACTGTCAGCAAGAATGCACTGAACTAGATTAATTTAATGATCTAATAAAGCGAAACACTTTTTATGATAGTGTCGCTTTTTATATGCTCCTCTTTATGTAATTTTGTTCAGCTGGTTCTATTCCTGCAATTTCACATGCCACCCACCCAATCAAAGCTGTGGCTAAAAGCTAGAACTTCCTTCTTCTGTCTTTCATAAGTGTTTTATTAGCATGCTCTATTTTTTCCTAAATTCTTTGCAGGGATATATAAGCACCCACTGAAGCACAGAGAAGTGCAAATGAACACACTTTGCAAGATTAAATTGCTGTTACTTACTATGGAGCTTTAACAACCTGGTAATTTTGTCTAGCTCAAAAACCAGCAAGAAACACGTGGGAGATATACACACACACATATACATACATACACACACACACACACACACACACACACACACACATATATGTCTTCTACCCACATGAAGCTGCTATTGGAACTTGAAATACCTATTTCATTCTTCAGTTTTATTTCTAGCACATTATTAATTTCTTCAGTTAAATGATCTTATATGCAAATAAACTTTGCTCTCTCTCAATACATACCATTAACAAAAAAAAGTAGTCATATAGACTCTGGCTTTTTGCCCAGATTGGCATTTTTTAGTATTGCAATAAACATATACATTTACACTGTTCCCACATTTTATTCTCAAGAGGAACTCCTTCTTAACAGGCATGGTTCCCTTATTATTTATAAACATCACTGGCGGTCTTATTTTTAAAACATTGTCTTTTATGAGATAAGGTTTTCTCCATGTGAGTAAGAATGATAAAGAAGACCAGTGAACAGGAAGCCTGTATAGATTTCCTAAAGTGAACATCTGTCTGTAAAGCTGTTATATCAATTTACAGCCTAAACTGTATACAAGATAAAGAGTGAACAACACAGTACCTAATTTTTCTGGGTTTACCTAAAACCTAGCTCCCAGCTAAATGTGGGGGTGATATGCACTTTCTTTATTATGGAAATTTTTATTTCCCTTGCATTGTGAAGTATATGTGTCGACTCCCTTTGGTCCAAAAAGATCAGTTGTCATAATAGGACAAACTGCAAAAGCTGTTGAACAACCAATTAAATAGTGCTGGAACTCAATGAGACAGAGGCCAACATACTGAGCCAAGAACTCAACTTCCACCAGTTGTGCTCCCAATATAAAGGAAGAGGTACTTGGAAAAGCCTCAGGCACTGATCTTTAGCTGAGGAAAGAGTTTTTTCCTCAATGAATCCTTACTCCTTTCTAACTACAGATGGCTACATAATTCTTTCCTCCTTGGCCACCCTGCTTTTTTACATTTGAGTTGTTTTCCAGCCATCCCTGCTCTTTCTTCCCTGGGCTGAATTATGAACAGGGCTCAAAGTATTCCTTACCTAGGAAAATTCTTTGAATTCATGGGATTGCCATAAGCAGACAGTTGGCTTGAATGCACACACACAATCCTTAGCTATTATTCATAGTAGTATTTATTTATATTTATTTATTTGCCATATTTATACCCCACCTTTCTCTATCCCAGCAAAGGGACTCAAGGCAGCTTACAAGGGCACATACACAGTGCCATTGTATTTTAATCAGACTTTAGTATTTTAATCAGACTTAAGGCAAACGACTAATGGAAGGGGAAGCATTGTATCCATTGCTTCTTGCTTCCACATCCAATTTGCTATTCACTTCATTAATTCTGCTCTGCCTTTTTGTTTGTTCTTCCTCTATCTTAAAGACCCTTTTTATATTTGATAAAGCAATGGGTCCCCAAAGCTTCACCTATGCGTTTCATTATTATCACAGAGCCTGCTGAAGGGTAAAAAAAAAACCCCTCTTCCTTATTATAAGACATCAGAACTACTGACCGAGCAGAGGGAGTTGGTTCTGTGATTTGTCGATGCATCCGAACATTGTGTGCACAGTTCTCCTTGGTCCCTGCCTTGGCGTCCAATGGAATGTCAGGGGAAGTGTGGCTAATCTTCATGGAAGAGTCAGGGTAGGTAGCCGGTTGCCCCAGGTAATCCTCACTGTATTCATTGTCATTGGTCTCTGTATCTGTATAGTTCAGGGACTCCAGCTTGATTCCAGCCAGGCCACGTTCTCGCCAAGGAACCCAACAAAGTTTCCATGAGACAAACAGAGATACCCCAAACAAAGCAAGTCCGCATGCTGTGACAACTAAGGACAATAAACTCACTGTGATATCTGAAAAGAAGAAGGACAAACACATGTTAACACTAAAAGAAAAGATCACAGTTATAACAAACAGATCCTAGGTATTGTTGGAGAGCAATCACAGTAATTTGTAATCCTTAACTTTAAAAAAAACAATTTTAGAATTTAAGAAACAGATTTTCAAGAAACAATCATTTATGTTTAGCTATTCTAAATAACAGTATAGGCAATGATGGGTGCAAGAGGAACTGGATCTTTGTAAATTCTGATATAAACAATTCTGATATTCAGTTTCCAGATAAATGCATAGGTCTACCTTATATTTCTCTGGATGTTGCAACACCAAAAATTATCAAAACCCATTGCAAAATATACATTTAATAGAGCATGTGATCAGAATTCATTGAATAGATTGCTTGGACCATTTACAAAATCCTTATATTTCTTATCTTGTATCCATGTTGACATATGTAGGTTACTGAGAGAAACAACAGAGACTGAAGGAAACAGCAGTTCAAGCATTTGGAAAACTTTCCTTAATATGTTTGCTCTAAATAAAAAAACATTCAAAAACAGTGAACCTGAGTGGAGGTAGAGAGAAATCTTCCTGGTATTTTTACTTTTTAATTCTTTATAAAACACTAGGGAAGTGCTTAGAAATAAACTATAGTAAGGCTGACAAACTGGATCCCCCTCTATATCAGGCCTGCCTAACCTGCACCCTTCCAGGTGTTTGGGCCTCCAACTTCCAGGAGTCCTAGCCATCTTATCTAATGCTTGGGAATTCTGGGAGCTGAAGTCCAAAACACCTGGAAGGCTGCAGGTTGTGCAGGCCTGTTCTATATGGTCCACACAAAACCATGTGGTAAATTATCAAGTGGTGTTAAATAATAGGTAGTTGTGATAATCACCTAATCATGTCATACACTAAAGACTAATCCTTTGCTGATGTTGTTACCTAAGGCCTTCCCTTGACATTGTGGCCTACCCAGATGTCTCTTTGGATCAAGTAGGACATCTGCAAGAGGGAAATCTGCATTGACATCCAGAAGCTGATGGGTACAGCATCATGTGTCGAGTCAGGCATGATCCAGATCCTCTTCCATATGGATACACTATGGTCAACATCTTCTAGAAAACATTTCAAAATGGATAGTATTCCAAAAGTCCTCTTGTTAAAGTGCTCAATGTGTTGAGCACATACATGATACAAATCCCCTCTTAATATAAGCTATAGGCAGGACAACATAGAGGAATACAACTTAATGACAATTATTACTCCAAATTAGAACAAATTCATAAAAGCAAAATAGATAATTTAAGTTTTGAATGATTCAGTTCTTACCAACTCAGTAAGATTATCTTAGCCAGGATTAACAATTGGGATTTGCCCTAAATCTTTTCATCTTAGTGTAACCATTTATTTTATATAGATTAATTTTTAAGGTGGGCAATATAGAGTCCTTGTGCAAACTACAAGACTTCCAGAAGGCCCTCAAAGCCACTAGATCAGGCATGGGCAAATTTCAGTGCACGAGGTGTTTTGGACTCCAACTCCCACAATTTCTAACAGCCGGCTGTTACGAATTGTGGGAGTTGGAATCCAAAACACCTGGAGGGCCAAAGTTTGCCTATGCCTGAACTAGATCCTCCACATTTTTTAAAATTCCAGGCTTATTTTGATTTTTTTATTGCCCGAACTACCTCCCAAATCTCCCAAATCCACCAAAGGTATCCAAAGGTATCACTTTACTTCTCTAGTGCCCACTAATTGGCAAAAGTGGTGATCAGAAGTGACATGATATGAAATGTGCTGTCATGGCTCACTTGGCAGACTTAGGAAGAGAAAAAAAAAGTCCTGGTTGCAGTTTCCCAATCCTATTTTAGGGGATCAAATAAGGTAGGTTATCTTTCCAATGTATATAGGTAAATGTTATTGCCAGCAAAACAATGCTTTCCGGGGCATCCCCTTGCATACCACATACTTGATTCACATCAGGTAAGGTCAATCCCCGAATAAACTCAATGGTCAGAAATGCATATTCAAAGTACTGCTCTTTCCATTATTAACAGACTGGCATCCAATGATGACTCTTCATATCACTTGTACTGTACTTGTAATTTCACAATAGAATTCATCCATTTCTCTGGTGTATTTTCATTTTTTAAACGTACTTATTTAGGCACTCATACATTTGTGTATACTGTAATTTCTGGATGCTTGTAAAAAAAAAAACCTTTACTGCTGAAATATGCAGACAATGCACACTGGAACAAAACAATTTTTATGCCTGTGTCAATACTCAAGATACTCTTTGGTCAACCAGCAGTCTACCACTGCATAAACTGGTTTATTTAGTAGTAGTCCCACAGTTTGCTTTAATTGCGAGCAATGGTACCACTAGTTTGCATACATGCTAAAAGAACCTTTGCACTTTAACCCAGGTTTCAGGAAACAACATGACAAAATCATACCTTGTACCCTACAAGTTATCTAGGATGGTGAATGACACTCCCTATCAACTATAGTTTCTCCTTCTGATCTCCATAAAGTTCCATTGAAGTCAGCAAAACTGTTGTGAATAATAACACCTCAAATCAACAACTATAACTTTATTTTGAGGTTCTTGAGAGATGTTTGCATAGATTTCAGTGGTGCCTAGTAATATGGCCATTATTGGAAGAAAACATTTTTTTAATCTGCCGGGAATTTCTTTTAAGTCATCATTTCAAAAATGAGTGGAACTCAAAAACTTTTTTCTCTTTCATTTTAAGGACTGGCAGTGTTGGAGTCCTGAGAGGTTAAAAATGAATATAGAGCAGAAAGCTCTTTGTCCCCATAGACTAAAAGGGATGGTTTAAAGGCTGCTAAGTTTTCAGAAACTACATTTTAGAAACATGGTCTCTTGTCATTCCCTTTGTTGTTCCCAAAGGAAGAAATGCAAAACAGAAGGAAAGGGAGCAATGAAGAGTCACAAATGAAAGAGCTGTTCAAAAACATATTTAAAGGATGAGAGAACTTAGAAATCTAAAGCATTGCAACACAACAAAGGGGAGATGAGGAAAAGCTGAAATAAAAAGATTATTTATCTTAAATAGCGATATTCTCAAAATCATGCCTCTCCCATACAAATTTATAGTGTTTCTTTCAAGTGAGATAGAGGGACAGCATAAAATCTAAAAGATATTTTGAGAAGTGGGTAGGCTTGGCTTCTCTTTGTTAAATGAGAGCCATTCAATTGTTTTTCACTTTTTAAAAAATGGGCATCTCTTCTAATAGTCATCCTGCAGTGTTTCCTTGAAACAACCATAATTCCACGATAATTCCCTAGGACCTAGAACACACAACTGTCTTCTAAAATACTCCAGATCTTAAATAATTCTCGAATGTTCTCCCATCCATTCATATTCGGGGTGATGCATTTCTTTGTTGCATCAATACTGATTGCTGACAAAATCTAAATCAATACTGTATACCTTAAAATCTTTCACGCATGTGAAATAGCAACATAACACTGTGATCATGCTGGCAAAAGAGGAAAACATACAACCTAGAAGAAGCTGCAACCATTTGCTTTTGTCTGACTCCACTATGAAGCGCAATATTCTATACTTCCTTTCCTCTTCCCCTGGTACGTTTACTAAGTACAAGCTAGCATAACTCCCTTTTTGTATCAATTGAACTAAGCTAAAGAGAAAGGGATAACATGGGCAGAATAGAGAGAACTGGAGAATTTTAAAAGAAGCTGGAAAAATGGGAGACAGAGGATTAATTGGGACTACCATGCGAAACTAGAGGCGCAACCAGACAGTGCGCAAAATGCACACCCTCCCATATTTTTGCAGGGGGCACCCAAATGACATCCCACAAAATCATGAATTATATTGATGCAAAGCAGATTAATTTGTTAGTGGGTTTGTGGGTCAAACTCACTATGACCGCAGTCTGGACTGCCCCCTCAGAAGTCCTGGACTTCTGAGGGGGCAGTCCAGACAGCGGTCTTGTGTTCTGCTGGGCTAAATCAGCCCGGAAAACTGTGAGGGCACCAGCCCTCTCCCCAACCCCACCCCACCCCCTTTTAAAAAAGAAAAATAACTTATGAAGCCGGCATTTCCCTGCTGCTGGCCCTCTTCTGGTACTTAGGAATGAAATGCTAGGAGAAGGGGCCGGCAGCAGGGAAATGCCCGCCCCGTCTGTTATTTTCTTTTTTAAAGGGGTTTTAAAGAGGTTTTGAGGAAGGGGTCTGAGTATCTGAGTGTTCTTCCAGAAGGTTCTGGGTGTGCATCTGAACACCCAGTGCCAAAAGCATGGGCTTTCGGGCTGGTGTGGAGACAGAAGGCTGCTCTGACATGGGCTTTTAAAACTCGGATTGGCACAAAGAATTCTTCCCTGTCTGGAACCACTCTAAGACAACTATCTAGCTCCAACCTCACTATCTTTTTTTGCATACATTACAAATGGCCTGCAGGTGTACTTAAGAATTCTTAATCATACCACTTGCCTACTTATGGGAACCTGATGCATCTTCTTGGCCTTCCTTCACTCTTTCCTTCCACTTCCAATATGCAAGATGTTAGAGGATTGTGAGACCTCAAACAATATCTTTAAAATCTCCATGCCTGGACATATTTTCTTCACTCAACATTGCCCTTTTGGGTCAATATCCATTTAGAACCTGTGCTTCTTGCCTCAGGGAAAATATTCCACCTTTACAAGAAACTACAAGACAACATCTTGTTCTAGAAATCTTTCTATGCACAGAGTAAAAGACAATGATATGAATTCATATTACACTCAAATTACTTCTGATTTACTACTATCATTGAGCTACAATATGAAAATGGAGTGTTAAATAATTGTCCTTTTTAAAAAATATGTTGGTGAGATAACATATTTAAGTAGAAAATTGAGAAATGATGCCAGTTCATTTTTTTTCAACTGCTCTGATTTGATGGTAGAAGTTTAAGTGAGTAACTAATCCCCTATTTTCCCTCTCTTACAGACAAAATTAAGAAATGCCTAGTTGTTG